CTTAGACTCCTAGCAATAGTAGAGAGGGTGCGGGAACTAGCTTCTGGCTTTCTCCAGTAATCAGATCGGTGACCACCCTAATTGTCATCATAGAACCTTCATCCAGTAACTAACTGATGGAAGCAGATGCAGAGATCCATAGCCAAGCACTGGGCCAAGATCTGGGAGTCTTGTTGAAGAGATTGTTGCCGGGTGGTGGTGGCGCACGCCTTTAATCCCAGCACTTGGGAGGCAGAGCCAGGAGGATCTCTGTGAGTTCGAAGCCAGCCTGGGCTACCAAGTGAGTCCCAGGAAAGGCACAAAGCTACACAGAGAAACCCTGTCTGGAAAAACCAAAAAAAAAAAAAAGATCATGAAGGGGAAACCCACAGAGGCAAATGACCTGAGCTCATGTGAGCTCATGGACTCTATACTGACAGCTAGGGAGCCTGCATGGGACTAACCTAGGCTCTTTGCATGTCAATGACAGTTGTGTAGCTTGGTCTCTTTGTGGGGCCCCTAGCAACAGGAGCAGGATCTGTCCCTGGTGCATTAGCTGACTTTTTGAAATCTGTTTCCTATGGTGGGATGCCTTGTTCGGCTCCTAATGCAGTGGGGAGGAGCTTGGTCCTGCCTCAACTCAAGTTGCCATGCTTTGTTGACTCCCATAGGAGGCCTTACCCTTTCTGAGGAGTAGATGGCGGTAGAAAGGTTGAGTGGGGGGAATAGGGGCGGGGGGAACTGTGGTTGGTTTGTAAAATAAATTTTAAAAGTTTAATAAAAAATGAGTAAATTCAAGCTCATATAGATAAGTAATTTTTGCAAGGTTCTTAATTTCTGACAGGATGCTGCTTTGCTGGGAAGCCATTTGGGTTCTATTCAGTATTTCTATTGGCTTAAGAAAATCAAGTGGATCGTGGAATTTTTCTGCAGAGATTTGCACCAGCATTGATTTCAGGAAATAGTGTTTCACCAAGCAGGAAACATTGACAAGTAGATGGAATTCACTGTATGCTGCTGTAAGCTAACCAGTTTTGTGGAAACCTGCTTCAGGCATGAGTCAGCATGTCACTAGCCACTGCTGTCTGTGTAGAACATGGGAGAGCATATCCAGCCAGCATGAACCCAGGGCAGTAACTCAAGGCAGGAACCTGGAGGCCGAGGCCGTGAAGCAACACTTAGTGGCTTGCTCAGCCTGCGCTCTTACATGATTCAGGTCTGCTTGCCCTAGAGCAAAATAACAAACAAAAGTAGCATCCAGCTCTCTTGGCTATTTGAGATAAAAGCAATAGTCAAACAAACCAGGAAATAGTATCAGTTCCCCACCTCTCCCTTCTTAATACAGCCAAGAAAGAAAAGAACTTTATATTGGGTTTCACAGAGATTTTTATCCTAACTTTGAAAACAGTGACAGTTAGCAAGCCTTAGTGCCATCATCTGCAGAGGACCCACTTTGACTCTATCATTGTTGGTTAAGCGGCAGCGCTCGCGGCTGGCCGGGCCATGCCGACAGAGAGGGCCCGATAGCCCGCTTTGTCGAAGGCTACTGACATAATTAAGGGCATAATCCTTACAGTCATCCTGTAAGAAAGCCTAGGGCCTTCTCAGGAAATGCATCCTGGCCACAGACCTCCCTCCACGCCACCCCCATTTTACCTCTTTAGAGGAAGTAGAGAGGAGGTAGCTGGGAAGTGAGGAGGCATGTAAATGGCTGATGTAAAAGTATATGCACTCATTCGTACCCTCACAGGGTACTCAAAACAACAGAAAGAAAGGGGCAGAGAAAGCATGATTGGACTTTAAACAAAAAACGAGATCTGATTGAGACAGACATTTCAATGGACCAAAATGTTTAAGAGCACAGAGGATCAGCAACTTCATGATTTCCAACATGTCTCCTTCTACTTCTCTCTTTCTAGGAATCTGCAAAATGAGCATTCCTGAGTTCAGAAAGTATTTAAGAGGGAAATACAGCTTCACACACACATATAGAATACTAATGCTTAAAATTTCACATACACACACACACACACACACACACACACACACACACACACACACACACTACCATATGGGAAGTGAGGTGGCTTCATCGGTTCATGGGTTCACCTTGCTGAACAAGCTTAATGGCTGAGTTCAATCCCCAGAACCTACATAAAAGTGGAAGGACAGAAACAACTCCACCAAGTTTTCCTCTGATCCCACATGCACACTGTGGTACATGTGCACACACACACTAGTAGATAAAGTTGAAAAAAACGGAAGGAAATGTATATGCTGTGGGAAATAAGTCCCATATAGCAAAGCAGCAAAGTGAACCCCCAGATTTTGTGACAGGATGATTGGCACTGACCCGATACAGTCACTGACAGATGTGCACGGTATCAGGGAGGGCTCCAGGGGAGCTACTTCAGGACTGGACTGGTAGAGTGCAGCAGCTTAAGGGAGAGCTGGTAACTACAGAGGTTTGATGTAGGATTTGTGATAAAGATATAGAAAATTAACTTTAAAAAATATAAGAAGGCAGGAGATATAGCTCAGTGGCAAGAGCTAGTAGGTGCAAGGCCCTAGGTTCAATTCCGACTACCACAATAAACAAACAAATAAGTAAATATAGTAGAAAAATATGGTTTTATTATGAAATACTGTTATTTCTCTAGCATTCATAGATTTTGACATTTGTTCTTTTCAAGTAGATCATAATATTATTTTCTTTCTAATTATAATTTCCTGTTTGACTTACGGATTTAAAAGGATGTTATAGTTTCCAAAAGCAGTTGGGCATTGTGGCTCATACCTGTAATCCCAAGTCTTGGGAAATAGACAGAGGAGAATCTTTAATTCAATCCAGCATGTACTCTATGGAGACAGGTATATATATGTAAATAAATAAATAATATAACAATATATTAATTATTATAATATGTAAATAACAAGTATAATTGCCACAGCTAGACATGGTGGTCTGTACCTGTAACTCCAGCACTTTGGGTGGTGGAGGCAGGAGGATCTGGATTTCATTGACTACACAGTGATTTTGAGACCAGTGTAGGCAGAGTAAGGCCTCTTGCCACTCATTGGCAAGACTGCTCAGTAGGTAAAGACAGTGCATACACAAGCCTAGTGACCTGTGTTCAACCCATGTAAAGGTGGAAGAGAGAACTGACTTCACAAAGTTGGACCATGGCAGGATTGCTGCTACACACACACACTCATACAGCAATAATGATAATAATAACTACTTTTCAAATAAGTACCCTGTCTTTAAAAGAAGCAAAATGTATAAATATAAGAAGATTTTTAAAATGTTTATTATTTGCTTGGTTTCTCATTGAATTATATCAGAGACAGGTTGTTGCCTATATGAATTCATTTGAAACTCATTGAGTCTTACTTTAAAGCTAGTTTTTAATTAAATCTTCATGCTTCATAAACACTTTTTTTAGCTGTGGAAAGTTTTCAGATGTTCATCCAGCAAATCAAACTTATTGGGCATATAAAAAGTTTTTTAAATTGTTGCTTTATCTTCTCTTGAGCTATCAGTAATTGGAAGAGGTATGTTAAAATAATTGTGAATTTGCTAATATTTCTCTGACTTTTTATAGTTTACATTTTATATATTCTGAGGCTATTAAGAGTATAAAGGTTTAAAATTAAACATCATCCTGATAATTAAACATTTTGATTGGTATTCAAGAGTTTTCCACTATTAATAATGGACTCTTTAGGGGGCTGGAGAGATGGCTCAGCAGTTAAGAGCACTGCCTGCTCTTCCAGAGGGTTCATTTACCAGCATCCACATGGCAGCTCACAGCTGTCTGTAACTCCAGTTCCAGGGGATCTGACACTCACATCGGTACACATGCAGGCAAAACACCAGTGCACGTAAAATAAAAATAAATAAAAAATAAAAAATAATGTTCACTCTCTTGAGGTTTTTTTTTTTTTTCCCCTTTTGAGACAAGGTCTCAAGTAGCTAAAGCTGGCCTAGAACTCCTGATCCTCCTACCTCCCAAGTGCTGGAATTTCTTAAACAACATCTCACACTGTAGTACAGGCTGGTCTCTAACTTCTAACCTAGCTTTGAACCTTCTGAGTGTTAGAATTACAGATATGAGCTACCACTGAAATTATTCTTGTTAACTGGCAAATTTAAATAATCTGCATTCCAGTAAACAATGTTCCTCAATGGCCTCTGCTTCAGTTCCTACCTCCAGGCTTCTGACTTGAACTCGTGCCCTGACTTCTTTCCATGGTACACTATGATCTGGAAGTATAAGATGAAATAGAACCTTTCCTCTCCAAGTTGCATTTGGCCATAGTGTGTTTTATCACAACAGTAGAAACCCTATCTAAGACAGGGATTTTTATCTTTTGGGAATGCACATGTCTGTGGTTTTTGTACCTTCTCACTGAAAGCTCTATCATTCTCAGAATTGTGCACTGAAGCTTTTAAGTTTTGAGCATCCACTCTGGGAAGAGAATAGAAGTAGGGAAAGAGCACCCTTTGTTTCTAGGCAGCGGTGATGCATTTAGTTTGAGAGTAGTCATCTTTATTAGTTTTCAACCACAATGGCTAAGGGTTGCATGCTGAAAGATAATTTTGTCTCCTGTGTTTTGTGGCTAGTAATCTAAATACTTGCATGTACAAAATCAAAACAAAGGTTCAGCAGGATGGTTCAGCAGGCAAAGGCACCTGTTGTGAAGCCTGACAATTTGAGTTCAGTCTTCAGGACTAAAATGGTGAAGGAGAGAACTGCATCCCACAAGTTGTCTTCTGACCTTCATGCATATGCTGTAGCATGCAAATGCCCATAATGTATGTGCGGGTGCGCACTCGCACACAACACAAAACACACACACACACACACACACACACACACACACACACACACACACAAGAAATGTACTTGAATCTAACTTCATTTGCCCTTATTCATCATTAGGAAGGTGACTGCAGTGGAGTTTCAGGGATCTTCTTGATTCTCTTACTTAGAAAATAAATGTGCTGTTCTTTACAGGTCCTGCCTTCTAGTGCAGGATGCCTGCGGGATGTTCGGTGAAGTATACTTGGATGGCACCCTCTGGAAGAACATGGAGTTAGAAGGAAGGTCCTGCCGCATGGCAGGAATGAAGGTTCTACAGAAGGCCACAAGAGGAAGGTGAGGACATGCTGGAAGGTCAGCTGCTTTGTACAGTAACAAATAAAAGGCAAACTTTTTTATGCTTTTATCTCAAATTTTTGTATTTAAGACAATAAGCCAGGACTACCCCATACTTGAACTAATAAAGTAAAACTGGCGTTTGAAAAGCTAGTCAGTAGTGGCTCAGGCCTTTAATCCCAGCACTTGGGAGGCAGAGGCAGGTGGATCTCTGTGATTTGGAGCCCAGCCTGGTCTACAATGCAAGTTCCAGGACAGCCAGAGCTACAGAGAGAAACCCTGTCTTGAAAAACCAAAAAGAGAAAAGACTGGCAGTTGAGTGCAATCTCCCTAGAGAATGTGATTGACAGTCAACATAATGAAACACCTGTACTGATTAGTATTTTATTGAAATTAAGAGAAAATGGATGAGAACAGTATGTCTTCTAGATATGTGTATTCTAAGTAAAGTCTCTGGTAAAGAAATTAATTAATTAATATAAATGTTGTTAACATTTATATAAATCCCCTCATTTCTAGAAATTAATACATTTTGGTAATAGTATTATTTTTGCCTCTTTGAATACTATGTCAAGTTAAGATAGCTTAAGGATAGCAAAATTTGTAGCAATAACTGTTGAGTATGAGTTTTTAACCCTCTAGTGTAAGCAGAGACTAGTGCAGAGGGGAAGCCTCTTGTCATCAGCTCCTCCTGCCTCACCTACCAGCTAACTGACCAGAACGGAACGGTCAGCATCTTGGAACTAGCTGGTGAAATCTGACCATTTCAGTCATAATAAAGGGGGGGGGCACTTTTAAATGTTGTATGTGTGTGTTACTTCATGACCTTGTGACTAAAGATTTGTTTTCTACAGTTCTTCTAAACTAGGACTGTTAAAAAAAAATCTATGTATAATAAGTAGGGCATGTAAATGAAAGTCTAACATCTCCCCCCACCCCCTGCTCCGGAGCTGAGGACCGAACCCAGGGCCTTGAGTTTGCTAGGCAAGTGCTCTACCACTGAGCTAAATCCCCAACCCCTGAAGGTCTAACTTAATGAAAAGACTTTTTATAGGACTTGAACAAAACTTGTTTTTTACCCTGAGACAGGGTCTCACTGTGTAGCCCTGGCTGACCCCCAACTACATATGTAGACCAGGCTAGCCTAAAATTCACAGAGATCCACCTGCCTCTGCTTCTTGAGTGTTTAAATAAGCAAAACTGTTCAAATTTTCAAGTATTAATGCTTTTTCCCAGCACTTGTGCGGTAGAGACAGGAAGATCAGAAGATTAAGGCCATCATCCATCATCCGTTACTTGGTTAGTTTGAGTCTAGCCTGGGCTACATGAGATCCTTTGTCTCTTAAAAAAACAAAAATTCTTAGTGCTGTCATAAGCAAACTTGTTCTGTGCCAAGTGTTGTGGCACCTTATCCTGAACAGTTGTGGATAGCGAGAGATGTAGTCGTGCATAGATCTGGCCAAACCATGGTTCTTGCTTCACCGGTAATCATTTTAATCTGTAAATTAAAACCAAGACATTTTTTCTTTGTCAGGTATTTTTACTTTATTCTTTGACAAGCTCATAAATGTATACGGTGTATCTTGGTTATCATATTCACCCTCTGTCCCACCTCCTGTGCCCTGTGTCCTGCCTTCCTGCCCTGGTAACTCCCCCTCCCCACCTCTTTTTGTGTAAACACGGATTCCAATAAATTTAGTATTGGCTTGATCTTGTTCAGGCCTGTACAGACAGCCATAGCTGCTGTAAGTTCAGAATGGTAGCAGCCACACCATGTCCAGAAGACAGCGCTTCCCAGCACTCTTAGGTTCTTTCTGCCTCATCTTCCATGAATGTTGGTGGGGTGATATAAAGTTCCATCTAGAGCTGAGCACTCAACAGTCACGTGTTCTTATCACTCTGACCAGTTGCACATGTCTGCCTTCATTTCTGCACACTGCAGAAAGAAGCTTCCCTTAGCCAGGTTCACAGTTATCTATCTACAGGGTGGACATATGTGTGTTTAGAAGGCAGCTTGACAACATCTGCTTACAAAATGAAAGCAGTAGGATCCTTGGCAAGGTTTGCAGCACCAGGCATGGATTTCTTCTATGGAGTAAGCCTCAAATCCCATCAGAATACAATTTTTGTCAAAGTTGGGGCTACTATTGGTGTGATGAAATGCCACATCCAAGAGCATGGTGGGGAGGAAAGGGTTTATTTCACATACAGGTCTGTGTAATATTTTATCATCCAAAGCAGTGAGGGTAAGAACTCAAGCAGGGCAGGATCCTGGAGGCAGAAGCTGATGCAGAGGCCATGGAGGGGTGCTGCTTACTGACTTGCTCCCCATGACTTGCTCAGCCAACATTCTTATAGAACCCAGGACCAGCAGCCCAGGGACAGTACCACACACAATGGGCCGGCACTACTCTATCAATCACTAATTAACAAAATGCCCTACAGGCTTACCTGCAGCCCTATTGTGGTGATATTTTGTTTGTGCTCTAATAAAGCTTGCCTGGAGATCAGAATGTGGAGCTAGTCACTAGAGACCAGGCAGTAGTGGCACACACCTTTAATCCCAGCCCTTGGGATCTCATGCCTTAGATCCCAGTACTTGGGAGGCACATGCCTTTAAATCCAGCACTTGGGAGGAGGAAACAGGAAGTAATATGGCTAGACGGAGAAAGGAAGTGATAAGGTAGGATGGAAACAGGAGCTTGATTCTTTCAGTCTGAGGATTCCTAGATGTAAGAAGTCTTTCTAGTGTCTGGCTGCTCTGTTTCCCTGATCTTTCAGCTTTCACCCTGATATCTGGCTCTGGGTTTTTATTATTAAGACCAATTAGAATTTGAGCTACAAGACTTTACAGAAGTCTTTTTTTAAAGACTTATTTTATTATTTGATTGTTATGAGTATGTTTGCCTGCATGGACCTGTATGCACCATGTACCCAAGGATGTCAGAAGCAGGCATCAGATCCCCTGGAACTGGAGTTACAGACAGTTTGTGAACTGCCATGTAGGTGCTGAGAATCAAATCTCAGTCCTCTGCAAGAGTACCAAGTACTCTTAACCACTGAGCCAACTCTCCAACCCTGGAAGCATTTTCTTAATTGAGGTTCCCTCCTTTCAGATGACTTCAGCCTGTGTCAAGATGACATAAAACTATCCAGAACAGTTGGTTACCTCTGTAAGATTTGTGTCATCATTTCAACAATGCACAGTAGGAAGAAGAAAATTTAAAGAAGTGTCCTAGAATATAATTAAATACCATAAACAATAAATGTGGGGTTCTCAAACTCATTGTTACCTTTCTTCAAGTCACATGTTACTCCTTCATATTGGTATTTATTTAATTTTAGTAACATCTGTGTTTCTACTATCATTGGTAAGCCCGTTACAAGTCTGTAACATCCTGAATCATTTGTTGATAGCATCTTCTCTGCTTTCATAATGACCATGCAATGTGGCCATTCTAAATCATGAACACTCATAAACATTTCTCCTGACTGGCGTAGTCTGTCCTGTCAGCCCTTTCTATAGCACCTTTCCGATGAATGACAGCCCTGCCCGAGGGTTATGTACCTGGAAGACGTGTTTTTCATAAACAGATCTGCTGTCAGATAAACTCAGAGCAGATACAGAATACTTTCTGTTGCTTATATGTGTCTTAATGACAAATGCTTCCATTTTTATATTCCTGTATTATAATGGAATTATGTTATATGGTTTTAGAGGCAAAGTGAAGATTTGCCCAGGTAATGGAAAGCATACTAAACATTAGAAAGCTTGATTGGGCATATGAACCCTCCATCCCTACTAAATTCATACTTACCCCATCTTAACCCTCAATTCAGTCCTTATTAGAATATTCTTTATAACATTTTGCAACTCAGAAGACTCTGAAAACAGAGTTGGTATAGTCAGATATCTACAGTTAGATTCACTCCAGCAAGGCTTCTCTGGTAAAACTGCCTCATGGCTCAGTCTTGGCACTTAATGGCTCATAGTAGCCCAGATTGCTGCTCAGGCTAGAGACTATAGGAACACCATGTAGAAATTCTGGTGCAGATAGGCATAGACAGGCCTGGGACCTGGGATCTGTGGCTCTGTAGAACTGATGATCTTCCAGCATCATGTTATACATGCACTTAATATTTAATCTAGTTCTTACATGTTACTCTGGGAGACTCATTGCCATCTATAGCATTTACAAAGGAAGTAGACTTTCTGTAGGAAGTGTCCCAGTGATCCAGATAATACATTTGCCAGTAAACTTCCCAAGGCCTCACATGTGCTCGGTGAGTGCTTTCTACCTCAAGCTTACCTTACCAAAACAATGTTTGGATCCTTTTCCATATTTAACTTGCTGGTGAAATATTTGGTACTTCTTGGAATTAGGATTAATTTCTTTATTTTATGCATTTCACTTTACTTCGGCATGCAGCCATCCAAATAAATATTTGGAGTATCTTTTTGTTCCTTTGGAAGCTGTGTTTCTTCAAAACAAATTACTAAATACTTTTGGAATGTTGGATGTTATAATTGCCTATTAGTGATATCATCCACTGTCGGTCATCCACCCATAGCCCAGAAAACAAGGTAGTCATCTTTTTATCCCCTGGTTGTGTCTGTTAGCAACTCTCCTAACTATTAACAGAATGATGACTTCCAACAATGTAGGTCAACATGATTACATGTCCAGCTATAACATAGAAAATACTGTGTTACAGTTGGAAGGCAGTTGAATGACTAAGCTAAGACTTAGATCTTCTCCAGCAGGTTTTGTTTGTCCACAGTTTTAGTGACAGAACACCAGTCATCCCTCGTTACTGCAGACCTATCCCAGGAGACCTATATGCTGCCGCATTTGATTAAGGAGCACCCCATGGCTGTTCCCTCGGTCCAAAGGTTTGCAGAAAGACAACCAGAATTGTTTTTGGGTGTTCTCTGACTTTTTCTTTTTTTATTTGTCTATATTGACTGGTCAGAGTAAGATGAATTAGATAACCTCCAATTAAGTTTGGAAAATTGTACAGTGTTCAAAGCCATCCTGGTAAGATGTGCACTCACTGGTTGGCTGAAGCCCTGCCTTTGCTTCCCCTCTGAATAAAAATAAATATCTTAATGTTATAATAATTTGATTTTATTTTTAATTCATTTTTAGGTTATTTCAATATTTTATTCAAATTTTTATTCAGTAATCAAATATTTTATTCAATATTTATTATAGTAATTATAATTTATTATTACACATAATTTGTATTTAGCTTTCGTCTTTTTTAAAGTAAATGTCAGTCAGTGCTTTGATCTTGGGTCATAGCTCAGTGGGAGATCATTTGCTTAGCATGTCCAAGATCCCAGTTTCAGTTCCCAGTACTATAGTAAATAAATACTTATAAACTAGATGTACTGGTTCACAGCAGTGGGAAGACTGAGGTAGGAGGATCATTGTGAATTTGAGACTAGTCTGGGCTGGTTCCAGGTCATTCTGGGCTAAAGTGACCCATGCCTTTAAAAACAAAAACTTGGTGTTGCTCAAGTCTTATTTATTTTTCTTTGGGATTCTTGATCTTTATATTTTTTCTTTATTTTAAATTTTTTCATTTATTTATTTATTTAAGAGTGTGTGTGTGTGTGTGTGTGTGTGTGTGTGTGTGTGTATGCTTCTAATTTGCAATCCTCCTATCTCAGCCTCTTGAATGCTAAGATTGCAGGTGTGTGCCACCACACCCAACCCATATATAAATATCTTTTTTAGAGTCAGAGGCTCAATGGTAAAGCACTTACTAGCATTTGAGAAGTCATAGGTTTGATCCTCAATACAGGATTTTCTTTTGTGTGTGTGTGTGTGTTGGGGGGAGTGGGAGAGGGGGGCATGGGTAGCTCTTCAAAGCTGAGCCTGATCCCAACACATGATGTGGAGGCAAGAGGATCCATGAGTTCAAGGCCAACCTTAGCTACAAGAGACCCTGTTTCTAAAAAAATACAGCTTTTATATTGTATTATACAACTAAAAAGTGGAAAAACTGGAGTGAAAGCTGCTTTCAAATCACTGCAAGAAAATTCTACTTCTTTTTTTCCTGCAATTTTCTTTATTCTTGAATTTCATACATGTATAAAAGGAATATGATTGTATCTACCCACACTCTCCCCATATGTCTTCCCCAACATTTCTCCCTCTTAACCTCATGTCCTTTTATTTCCTGATCACCCACAATGTCTAGTTAATATTGCCAGGATGTACACAAGTTTGGAGCTGTCCACTGGAGCAGGAGAAACCTTCCAATGAGAACACCCTTAAAAAGAATAGTCTCCCTCCAGCAGCTCTTGAGTAAGAGGTGGGGCCTAGAGAGCACCTCCCTCATCTTACCAGAATTCTTGCTGGCTTGATCTTGTACAAGTCTTATGCAGGTAGTTATAACTGAGTACAATTGCCTTGCTATATTCAGAGGACAGTATTTCACAATACTCATCCTCCAACTCGTATAGTCCTTCTGCCTCCTCTTTGGAGATCTTATTGCAGCCTGAAGCACAGCTTTATTACAGTGGAATGCTTTGAGCTTGAGGTGGGTGGGCAAGTCTAGCCCAAGTGCTTGACTGTAAGTAAGCTGTCATTATTTTCTTCTGATTATTTTCACCTGATGGAAGGAAATAGATAAGCTTTAAGAGTCTTCATTAGAAGTCTCAGCTTTAGACTGGGCACCAGGAACAGATGGAGCAGAGGATGAATATTGATGTATGTAGGTCTAGAAATATACCTCAGAGGTAGATCATTTTGCTCAGCAAAACACCCTGGGTTCCATCCCTAGGACAGAAAAGAAAAAGAATTGTATGTGAATACAAGTCGCTTGGTAAATGTGCATTATTATTTTCCTCTTCATTATTTTATACATAAAACAAAAATTTTAGCGTTTTTTTAACTAAGAAATTTTATTATTCATTTTACATACCAAACATAGATTCCCCCTCTTCCTTCCTCTCAGCCCTCCAGCCTTCTCCCACCTCACCCCCCATTTCCTCCAACAAGAAGGTAAGACCTTGAATGGGGAGTCAACAGAGCCTGGTACATTCAGTAGAGGCAGGTCCAAGCCCCTCCCCCTGCATCAAGGCTGTGTGATGTGTCCCACCATAGATAGTAGACTCCAAAAAGCCAGCTCATGTACCAGGGATGGATTCTGATCCTACTGCTAAGGGGCCCCTTAAGCAGATCAAGTTAAACAACTGTCTCACTTATGCAGAGGGCCTATTCCAGTCCCATGGAGGCTCCACAGGTGTTGATCTAAATTTCATGAGTTCCCACTAGTTTGGTTTGGTTGTCTCTATAGGTTTCTCCATCTTGATGCCCCTTGCTCATAGAATCACCCTTCTCTCTGTTCGACTGGATTCCAGGAGCTCTGCCTGGTGTTTGGCTATGGATCTCTGCATCTGCCTCCATCAGTTACTGGAGAGAGGCTCTGTGATGACAGAGTATTCACCAATCTGATTACCAGGATAAGCCAGTTCAGGCACTTTCCTCACTATTGCTAGTAGTCTAAGCTAGGGTCATCTTTGTGGATTCCAGGGGACTTCCCTAGCACCTGGTTTCTCTCTATCCTCATGATGTCTCCCTCTATAGTGGTATCTCTTTCATTGCTCTCCCACTCCATTCCTGTTCCAGCTCAACCATCCCATTCTCTTATGTTCTCATCCCCCACTCCCTACCCTCCATTGGCCCTCCTCATCCCCAGTTTATTCATGGAGATCTCATCTATTTCCCCTTCCCAGGATGATCCTTCTTAGCTAGCTTCTCTAGAGCTATGGATTGTAGTCTGGTTATCCTTTGGATATCTAGTATCCACTTATGTGTGAGTATATACCATGTGTGTAATATAAGGTTTCACTGTGTATCCCTGACTCGTCTGAAACTTGCAGTTTTTCCTGCCTCTGCCTCCCAAGTACTGTGATTATGAAGCTTGTGACATAAGCCTAAACTTTTTTCAAAACTCGCAGACCAAGGGCAGCTAAGTGACTCAGTAGATAAAAGTGCTTGCCATGCAAGCTTGGTAGCCTCAAGCCACAAAGTATGACAAGAGGGAACCAACTCAGCAGAAGTTGTTCTCTGACCTATGCATATGCACTGTGGCACATGCACCCACATAGACATCATGCACACACAATAGTAGTAGTAATTATATATGAGGCATACATTTTAACTATAAATGTTTTATAAATTTATTTATATATATCATTTGTATAAAACAATCATGTGTGTGTATACACACATATATGAAACAATCCAAAGGGAAAATATAAATATTGCCTCCAAACTCTTCTCAATTAACCACTCAAAGATTTATATCTTTTAATTTCTGGTATGTGTATAAGGACATTTTAATTTGTTTCTTTTCATTCATTTTGCAAAGAATCTATGTCCTTATCCTTAAGGGTTTTGTTGTTTTTACTGTTTTGATTTCTTCAATATTTATTGTGTTTTATGTGCACTGGTGTATTGCCTGCATGTATGTGTCTGTGTAAGGGTGTTGGATCCTCTGAACTGGAGTTACAGACAGTTATGAGCTACCATGTGGGTGCTGGAAAGTAAACTCGGTCATCTGGTAAAGCAGCTGGTCCTCTTAACTGCTGAGCCATCTCTCTAGCCCTGTTTTTGCTGTTCCATTTTGGTTTTGTTTTTCTTGCTGTTGGTAGTCAGATGTCTTCAAACTCTTGACCATCCTACCTCAGGCTCCACACACTGGAGTTGAAGTGTGCATACCTGCTCTTCAGGTGTTTTCTGTATATTCGTTTAAGTGGTGACATGCTTATGTGCAGGTTCATCACAGTGTAAAGAACTGAACAGCTCACTGACTGGTACTTTATTGGCAAGTATTTGTTGATGAATACTTCCAACAGTATCTCTTCTTGTCCCAGGACGCCAGGGCTCTTCAGTTTAATTGACACCATGTGGCCCCCAGCGATGCCTCTGGCCGAGCCTTCCTGTGGTGAGCCCAGTGAAGAGGTAAGCCGAGCCTTGGGGAGCACCTTGTCAGAGCTGAGCTAGGCAGTCCTCCTGCAGTCAGATGGCCCTGCCTTTCCTTGGGCATCGAGGACTGTGCAGCTTGTTCCTTTGTCTGGAGTGATGTGTGGATGCTAGGGCAGACTGCAGCTCATCTCCAGTGCCAACATTCTGATGGTTCTTTTCACTGCTCCTCTGGTAAATTCTTGATGAATTTGGTTTGTATTTTGGTTTTTGTGAGAAATACAAAATAGGCCTCAGTCTGGAGCCTGTACTGACCTTAACTCAGAGCAGTCCTTCAGTTTCAGCTTCCAGGTATTACAATTACAGGTGTGTGCCAGCAAACTCAATCAAACTCAGTTCCTCACTCACTGCTGCAAGTCGGAGTCTTAGCCTCATCCTAAAGCAGACATCGTGTCCTTCCCATTCCTTTGCAGTCATTTATAAAGTCAACACTCAGTTAGCAATTGGAAAAGAGACACTAGGTAGAATCCATAAATAACGGAAATTTCCCTTTTCCTCACCACATTGTCATCGTAGTGACTCAGAAGCAGCAAAACGAATAAGGAACTTTCTTCTACTGACCCTTGAGCTTGTTCATTGGGTGGCTGCTTTAGTCTACAGTTCCCAAAGTACATTCTCTCTCTCTCTCTCTCTCTCTCTCTCTCTCTCTCTCTCTCTCTCTCTCTCTCTCTCTTTCACACACACAACACACCTCCCTTTCCTTCTCCCATTCCCTCGACACCCTCCCGTGTGTATGTGTGTGTGTGTGTATGTGTGTGTGTGTGTGTGTGTGTGTGTGTATGAGAGAGAGAGAGAGAGAGAGAGAGAGAGAGAGAGAGAGAGAGAGAGAACATGCATCCATCTAACAGGCATCTGTGGATGCCAGAGCTTACTGTCAATACCTGTCTTCAGTATTGCTTCTCCACCTCAAGTGTTAAGAGAGGTTATCTCTTAAACCTGGAGCTCACCATTTTGGTCAGATTGCCTGACCAGTGAGCCTTTGGGATCCTTCTGACTCCATCCCCAGCACTGATGTTCCATTGCACTAGCTTGTTTCAGGTTTCTGAGAAACTGAGTTTTGTGGCAAGCACTTGACCTACTGAACCATCTCCCCAGGTTCTTGTAGCTGGCTTTTTAGCAGAGTGCTACATATATGACATGTGAGTCTATGCCAGAGAGCAAAGTCCTTCTCAAAATTCCTGTCTGCAGATTATATAAGAAGTGGTTCCTTAATGGTACTTTCAGTATACTCTGAGGAATAGATTTCTTCTCCTCTGTTTTGTTTTCACTGGGCCTTGAGTATCTTAGGATGACCTTGAAGTCCTGATACCCCTGTTTCTTCCTCCCAAGAGTTGAAATTGCAGGCTTATGCTACCATGCCTGGCATGAAGAGTAAATCTAAAATAAAATCTTAAATCTGTACAGAAATATTCTTACACATTGACAAAGTAACCCATTTCTTACCTAGTCTCCCCATGAGAACATACATTCTAAGGCAAATTTGTGTGTGTGTGTGTGTGTGTGTGTGTGTGTGTCTGTGTCTGTGTCTGTGTCTGTGTCTGTGTCTGTGTCTGTGTCTGTGTGTCTGTGTGTATGTCTGTGTGTGTCTGTATTCATTCATTTCAGTCTTAGGAATTGAAGCTAGGGCCTCTTTTGTGCTAGATGCTCTACCACTGAGTTATATAGGTCTCACTAAGTAGCTCAGGCTGGCCATAAAGTCCTCCTGTAGTCCAGGTAGGCCTTGAACTTGTGATTCTTTTATCTCCCAAAGCTGAGATCCCAGGCCTGCACAATTAAGCCAAGCCTGATCATGTGAATACTAAAGAACTTATGTTAATAGTATTCTTTCTAAACAGATGAAGACTTGCCTGCCTCCTCCTACCTTCTGTTATATCTTCTCTGTGCATCCGAGCCTGGGACACGTCGATACAATTGAAGGGGACCCCATTTCTGAGCTCTATCGGCCTCCAGTTGTCCACTGCTTACGAGAAATCCTCCAGGTAATGGTTGTGTTTCTAACAGGTTCTTCAAAGGCTTTTGCTGTTCCTGTGCTTTGTGTAATGTTTCTGTCTTTGTTTGCCTTTCCAGACTGATGGGCATGGCACACGCTGTAGCTTCTATGGCAGAGTGATTTATCAAAGACCACAGGTAATATCTCTGTCTCTTTCTGTCTGTCTGTCTGTCTGTCTGTCTCCCCTCACGCTCTCTTTCTCTAGCCTATTGAACAATCTCTTAGAAATTAGTGGTATGCCATAATAGAACAATATCTCTAAAATCTCGGTTAACCCATAATTTACCCCCTTGTTTGGAGCCATCCTTCCCTGTGTAAACTCTGTGGAGCTCTTTTGCATTTTGTTTATAATTTTGGTTTCTTTTAGAGTTGTTTCTATTAGGAATCTATTGCAGACATTTTTTTTCCTGATCCATAGTCAGTGAAAGAGCTATAAAAGTACCAAAATAATATGTTCCTTAACTTCTAATTGAGCTACTGGTGGGTAGTACATATATAAATAAAATTCAAATTGTGTCATCATAAACAGTTTATTAGCTTCTCCCTCAACTATATAATAGAGGGCAGAATGTTCTTGTAAAAGGCCAAAGAGTCAGTATTTTATGATTCTTGGATCATATAGTTTCTGTAGCAGTTGGCCAGTTTTACTCAGTAATTTAAAAGCAGCCATACTAATATTCATAAACAAATGAACAGGAATTTTAAAGAAAGAAAGGAAGGAAAGAAGGAAGGAAGGAAGTAAGGAAGGAAGGAAGGAAGGAAGGAAGGAAGGAAGGAAGGAAGGAAGGAAGGAAGGAAGAA